AAAAGCAGCTGATCAGATGATCTCAAGGCCTGAGAGGGAACGTAAGGTTCCAGAAGCTCAGAGAGGTAAAGGGGTGCGAGGACATTTAGGCACTTTAAGGTCAACAGAAGAATTTTAAAGACTATCCTCGTACGAACAGAGAGCCAGTGAAGGGAGGACAGAACTGGAGTAATATGTTCAGACCTACGAGTTCTGGTTAAAAGCCGAGCAGCAGCATTCTGGATGAGCTGAAGACGTGAAATGGAGGCCTGGCTGATCCCAGCATGCAGTGCGTTGCAATAGTCCAATCGGGTCGTGACAAAGGCGTGGACTAGTTTCTCAAGGTCGGGTCTGGACAACACTGGCTTGAGTTGGAAGAAGCTTTTCTGCAGGACAGAGTTGAGTTGTTTGTCAAACTTGAAGTCAGAGTCTAAAACCATCCCAAGATTTTTACCAGACTGCTTCAGATATGGCTGAAGAGAGTCCAGGTTGACAGGATCAGTGGCGGCAGTTGAGCTAGGGCTAAAAACAATGACTTCGGTCTTGTCATTGTTAAAACTTAAGAAATTTGAAGCCATCCAGGCCTTAATGTCGTCCAGACATTTTAACAGAGGGTGAATGGAGCAAACACTTGCTGGTTTCACAGGCAGGTAGATCTGGCAGTCATCAGCATAGCAATGGAATGAAAGACCATGTTTCCTCAGGATGGACCCCCAGTGGGAGCAAATAAAGTGAGAACAGAAGGGGTCCAAGAATCGAACCCTGTGGGACCCCACAAGAAAGAGGTCATGAGGCAGATACATTATTACCAACCTTGACACAGATCACTGTGTGAATCACTTAAATACAAGGGACTTGTGCCCCCATGGAGGGGGAAACTTTCCCCCTCCATGGGGGCACAATGAAGTATGTGCAGCCGCTCCACATCAGTGTGAATCGTGCATTCAAGTGGCGCTCAGAGCTCGTTGGGAGGCTTGGATGACTGGCAGAGAGAAGTCTTGGACCTAAACTGGCCACATGTACAGAGCAGCTTTAGCTGAAGACTGCAGCGGATGCTGACAGAGGAGCAGGGAGAAAAAATCCTCTGCACGAGGAAGATGAAGGTAGTGATCAATGACTTCCTGGTAGGATGCTGTTTTCTTTTCTAACCAGCCGTGTTACAGGCACTGTTCAGAAAAAACTTTTACTGTACGCATTATGTTACCGGTATGTATTTAATTAAAAGTTTTTAAAATAATCTTTCTGTGTAAGTATCTCAGGTTACAACATGAACACCCGCCTCTTATAGACGAGTGTGGCCTTTATCTGTACAAAATTATCTTTTTTTAATTTAGTGGGCGTGGCTTATATTGGGTGTGCTCGATAGTCTGGAAATGACGGTGCTTAGCCAACATCCGTGTCTGACTAGATTTCTCTTCATGTGCACGTCCCACTCTGTGTTGAACCTGCGCTGCATACGGTTCGTTTAACATCCAGTCCGGCGCCGTGTGGCTCACATTCTGTCGGTCGGCTGGAGCGCTACAGACGTGCTTCAGGAGGCGTTCAGTAGGAGGTGAGGAGGGAATGAAAGAGTCTGGTACAACACGAGCGGTCTAACCCCGTGTGTGAAATAAACCGTAAACAATGGACGTCCTTTAGCTCCAACTGGGATGAATGGCCTCATGTTTGTGTTTCTGTAACTTCTTCCTCATTAATGTGAAGCATCTGCTTTAAATCTAGCATTTTTTCTCATGAGCGTCAGAGCACTGGATGCTGCTGCTCTACGTGTGTGTGTTGCGCCTCAGACTGTGAACCTTAGAGACGGCTGCACCTGCAGATTCATCCGTCCTGCCCTCACGTCAGGAGCAGCAGACTGAAGGATAAATACTCCCATCATTATGTGGCGTTTTGACAGAGGAGACGTTTGAAACAGTTTTTAGTTCCTTCATATTAAAGCCGTGGGAGAATTATAAGGATAATTTGACATTAATGCCAATGACAGATGAGGTGATTTGTGTTGAGACAATACGCCTCCTGATTTAATAAAAGCCTCCGCAGCAGAAACACCAAGAAGACGCCGCGACGTCAAAGCTGCAGGAAGCTGCGCTCTGTCCTCATCGCATGCTTCGGCTGGTTCTCTTCTAGAGATCCATGGGAAGCAGGTGCCATAACTGACAGAGACACAAACGAGTCATTTTATCTGCTTCACGTGTTGTAACACCACACAGCAGCCGAAAGCCTCCGTCAGCCCACTCTGCAGAGCCCACCACTGATCTGTGGCCGAAGAGCCCAAAACAAGCATGAAGGCAAAAAAGCAAGGAATGAAATGTTCCAGAAGGCTCTGTCTGCTGCTCCGGGTGCTGAGGTGACGCTAATGACTGCAGCGGTCACTCTGTTGTTCTGACTTTGTCTGGAATTCAACAGCTTCTGTTTATTTAAGCTGTTTTAGCTGTTCCTACTTCAAAACATTCAGCTCATTCAGGAGATGGGAGCTGTGGCATTTAGTTTTTGTAACTTTGATGTTTTTCTTCAGCTGCTCCTGAATGTTGGGATGATCACAGGAAGTGAAGTCGCCAAAGGAAGGCTGGGCTCGTACCTGCAGCCTCAGGACCGTGACACTGCCCACCCCCCCCACACCCCCACGCAGCTGTTAACGGTTTTATTCTAACTTTTTACTTTTAAAATCCTCTCCCTTTATTTACAAACATTTCTTTAGAAAAACATGAAACCTGCTTCAGCTAATGACTCGTTCTCTCTTCTTATGCTAATTGTAACTTTTAGCTACCATTCTGCTAATTTTAGCTTTTAGTTAGCTTTTTGCAACTTTAAGGTTTTTGCCAGCTTTTCCCCACTTTTAGCTGAAAGCTGACCTTCAAATTCTTTAAACTTTTAACTAACATTCTGCTATGTTTAGCTTCTAACATAACCTGCTGATACTTTTAGCTTTTATTTAGCCTTTGGCTACTTTAAACTTTCAGTTGGTCCATTCAGTTAGTTAGCCATTTGCTTCTTTTAAAATTTAGCTTGTCTTTTGCCACTTTTGGCTTTTAACCAGTCTTTAGCTACTTTTAGCATCTAACACTTGGATACTTTAAACTTTTGCTGCTTTAGAGTTTACCTACTTAGCATTTAGCTAGCGTTTAGCTTTTCCAGTGGCCATGTGGCTGCTTTTGGCTCTTCCGTGTCCACGCTGCAGTTTCTCTGGTTTTGAACGACAGCAGGCAGAGGAGGGTAAAGACCATCAGAACAATCGTTTGGATGTTTTCTCTTACCTGTGGTGCACGATGTAGGTGATGATGGAGGCGAAGAGGCAGAGCAGCATGACAGCCGTGCAGGCGTACACGACCGGGTGCAGAAACTCCCCGGGGTAGGGGGGGAACGACAGCACCTTCTTCAGATCCTGAGGCCCAGAGAGAGAAGAGGCGGTCAGACAAAAGGTGCACAGAGCTCACAGCCACACCGACAACTGAATGCAGGAAGTGTGTCTCAGTCAGAACGAGCTGCAGACTGAGTGAACCCCACATTTCAGGGACTGAGCTGTTGAGCAGAGGAACTGAATTCAACAATGACTTAAGCTTCAAGTCTGCCAGAATAAACCATCAAACCCTGAAAGAGATAAAAGAACCGAAGAAAGAGAATTAATTGAATTTTCAGTTCCTAAAACACATTTTGCTAACAAGGCACATTATCAGTGTGAGCTGCTGGTTTTATCTGCTGCAGCGTTCTGTGGCAGCTGAAGGTGAACTCTCAGTTCTACTTCTATTACTCCATGTGTGATGGTTCCTGCCGGCCTTGGATCTGCTCAGGACATGGAGAGCAGGAGTGATGTCACACTTTGGCTCCTTCACGGTGATGTTGCTAAATAAAGAGCACCTTATCTCCATACTCCCTCCAGCTCGGCGTAACTTTGTGTGTGTGAGAGCGATCCACGCAGCCTGTCGGGCTTCATCACTGTCTGGGAGCAGAGCCCGCTGGGCCTTGTTCATCTGCAGGCTGCTGAGCCTGTCTGGACCTGTGGGGGGTCGAGACCTGAACGTGAGCATGTAGAAGGTTGTAAGTCGCAGCGTGGTGGAGGACAGGACACTGTGGAGGTGGACAGCCACAAGCTCAAACCCTCTGACAGTATAAATGGAAGATTTGAATGTTGTTCTGCGTTACCCAACGTTAACATTCTTCAGATGATCGGAGCTCAAAGACAGATCCAAACTGTTGGCTTTACTTCTGTTTCCTGCTCCATCAGGTTGGGTGGTGCTGCTCGTGTCCAACAGTCTTTCAATCAGTCCAGAGGGTCTCAGCTGGACTGAGACCTGAGACTGGACCAGTCCAGAACATTTAACTGGTTCTCCTTAAACCAGCAGTGTGGTCTTCAATGGCGTTTAGGGTTCCTGCTGGAAGGTGGACCTCCGTCCCATTCTCAGGCCTTTGGAAGACTCCGACATGCTCCTCAAGAACTTCTCTGTATGTTGCTCCGAACATCTTTCCTTCACCTGTGAGCAGTTTGAAAACAGCCCACAGCATGATGCTGCCCCCGCCATGCTTCACTGTTGTTCTCAGCACAACGAGAGGCTGAAGCAGACACTGGTTTAATCTCATCTGGCCACATCTCGGTGTCTTTGCCCTCTTCCATGAAGTTGAGCAGCTTCTACTCACGCACACATTTTACTTTTGCAAAACGCTACACTCTCAAAATAGGTTTGACAAATTTGGCAAAGTCCATTTTGTTTCTAGAGCTCACTGAAGCAACCAAGTCAAATAAAGTACCTTATATTGTTAGTCAAACCAAAAGTTAAAACAGCAATAAAATAAGAGAAACATTAATAAATAAAATATAAACCATCATCTACCGTCTCTCATGCTCTGCTCCAATCAAACACCAAAGAAGAAAAATTAATCTGAAGCATGGGTTCAAAAAGTCAGCCATTATAATAAATATCACATAATTCCCACTCCGTGTCGTCCAGACTGCTGGTTTTTGTTTGATCTGGTATCAAAACATAAAGATAAACTCTCTAAGCCCTCGATTGCGTCATAAAACCCTTCTGGAGCAGACTGGTTCCAGACCATTAGGAATATTCTCTTCCTTGACATAAGGCTTTGCTTCGCTGGTGTCTAGGAACCACTTTGTCTCCATCTGCAACAGTTTCCACATTTAAACCGTCTCCATATGGATGAGGGTTTCAGAAACCATCTCTGTCCTCCTCGTGCACGTTCGCTCTGGAACAACCTTCTGGCCTGTAGCACAGACCTTTACTGTCGTTGCACCCGAGTACAACAAACTTTGGGTTTGCTTCCAGAGCAAAAGTAAAAACAGTGAAATATAAAAGTAAACTGTATAAAAGGTAATAGTTACAGATTTGAAACACTCCAGTTGAGCAACACAAGCAGATTGATATTCCACCAGATGTCCCTTATTGCACTGATTCAGTTTTTATTACACTTTTTGTTTAGTTCAGTAACGGCTGACGGATAAAAACTCTTTTTAAATCTGTTTGTTCTCGTCTTGATTGATCTGAATCTTTTCCCTGATGGTAACAGGTCAAACATGTCCAGGGTGACGTTTGACCTGTAACATGTTGTAGACTTCCCCTGTGCAGCAGATCTTCCAGTGAGAGAAGAGGGCAGTGTTGATAATGCTCTGGAGCACTTTCCTCTGAGCCACTGTGCAGCTAAGATACCACACAGTGATGCAGTATGTTAAGATGCTCTCTGTGGAGCATCTGTAGAAAGACACCAGCAGTCTCTGAGTGATGTTGTTCCTCCTGAGAACTCTCAGGAAGTCCAGTCTCTGCTGGGCCTTTTTCCAGCAACTCGGTGGTGTTCACGCTGCAGGTCAGATTCCCCCCAATATGGACTCCCAGGAAACAATAGTCAGCTACTCCCGCCACACTGTCTCTGCTCATAATCAGGGGTGGGACTGCCATTTTCCTTTTCCTGAAGTCGATGATCAGCTCCTTAGTGTTTGGGGTGTTGAGGAGCAGATTGTTCCCCCTGCATCAACCAGTCAGGTGTTCCACCTCGTCCCTGTAGGCAGACTCATCCCCCCCCCCCCCCCCCCACTGATGAGCCCCACCACCGTGGTGTCGTCTGCAAATTTGACCATGGTGTTGCTATGGTGAGCAGGTGCAGTCATGTGTGTAGACTGCATAGAGCAGGGGGCTCAGCACACAGCCCTGGGGGACTCCGGTGCTGAGGCTGAGAGCCATGGATGTGTGATGGCCCACTCGAACCCTCTGACTGAGGTCAGACAAGAAACTATGTGTGCAGGTGGAGTGTGGAAGCTCCTCCAGTTTTTCCATGTTTGTTGGGGGGGGATGGTGTCGAAAGCTTCATCTTGATGTGATCTGAGAGTCGTGGCGTTGTGGGATCTGGGGTGGGGTCAGCCTTGAGGGGTATGTCTCTTCTTGCTGATGTGTAGGACATGGTGATGTGGCTGGAGAGCATCACAGGGGTGCAGAAATGGCTGGAAAAAGAGCGTAGCAGCATCATGGTTGCCTTCAAACTAGAGGAGGTTTTCCAGATGTTCCCACCATCTCATCGGTCATGTAGGTCATGGAGAGTGGGCCCGTCATTCAATGTGAAGGGGCCCCAAGGGGCATTTCACCATTCTCGTGGCCTGATACTGTCCATTAGTTTGAAAATCAAGCGATTTTAGTGCACATGCTGGCTTAATTCGTTACATCATTCATGCTGACAGATGATTTGAAACACATTTAGATGAAGTATTATGCAAATAGGAGGCTGATTAAAAGCCTGAAAGCCCCACTAAGAGCAAAATGTGTTACTTCCTGCTGAACAAAGACAGAGTATCACCCCCAGTCCAGCTGCTCGAAGTGAAGCTCCACTTCAGGTCAAAGAGCTTTACAACCAGTAAAGGTTAGTCTGAACCTTTGACAGAATGTTTTCAGACATTTATACCTAGCGATTGATTTAAATCAATAATTATGTGTGTTCGAAAGGTAAAACCCATACGTTTTAATGCATGCTGGTTATTTTCAAACCAACTGGAGCTGAAATAATGTTGATTAGTTGATTATAATCATTTTAATACTCATTAAATTCTAATTAAATGTTAGAATTCATCATTAAGGCTCATTTTTTGGTTGATATCACACAAGAAACACGCGTCAGACGACTTCCTTGTTTTCTGATCCCGATTTATTTGTTGGAAATCAGAGCAGAAAATGTGCGCGGTTGTAAAAGGACACACGATCACTGGACCTTTTGTTTTTCCTCTACTTTGCTTCTTCCTGGATAAAAATACATTCTGAGGAAAAGCAGAGCAGTTGTGACTTTACCACTAGATGTCAACAAATCTTACACATTTCTTTCTGAATGAAAACTGGTAGAAAATGTTTTTAAATGTGCGCAATAAGATTTGAGCAGAACTACAAAGAAATGCACAAATTTCACACAAATATTAAGAAAAAAATCTGTTGGAGCAAAGTTTAACAGTGAGACTAACCTGCATGAGTAAAGGTTGAAGGAAAAGAAATAACAGTTAACCCGGAACACTGGTGACCTTTGACCTCAGGCAGGAGCGTTAGAGTCCCCATGGAAACTAAACCTTTTGGACTAAACCCTGTCAGACAGATGGACACAGACGTGGACGGAGTTGGACACAGACGTGGACGGAGTTGGACACAGATGTGGACGGAGTTGAACACAGACGTGGACGGAGTTGGACACAGACGTGGACGGAGTTGGACACAGACGTGGACGGAGTTGGACACAGACGTGGACGGAGTTGG